GGGCCGGGGCAGGATGGTAGGGCCGGGCAAAGCAGGGCCGGGACAGGGCCGGGGCAGGACAGCAGGGCAGGGCCGGGCCGCGACGAAGACGGGAGGGGCCGACGCGCGGTCCCCCCTAGGGCGCCGTGACGGGCGACAGAAGGGGCGACGCGCGGCCCCCCCAAGGGCGCCGCGACAGGCGACGGGAAAAGGCGGGGGGGGGGGGGTGCGCGAGCCCCCGGTGCACCTTGACAGGCGACGAACCCGCCGCGCGCCTCGGGGCGCACGGCGGGCAGGGCACCGTCGCGCGCCACGGGGTGCACGGCGGGCAGGGCACCGTCGCGCGCCACGGGGCGCACGACGGGCAGGCAGGCAGGCAGAAAACCGCCGCGCGCCGCGCGCCCATGGCGCACGGCAGGCAGAAAAAACAGCGCGCGCCCGAGGCACGCGATAGGTAGAAAAGCAGCAGCGGAAGCATTGAGTGGGCCCATCCACAGGATCGACCCGTGAGGGTCGACCTGTTCTGATACCATGTTGAGAAACCAAAGGGAAGTTAGAAATGAGAAAGAGAGGTTTCACTAGCAAGCAGTTGAGTACATATAGCAAACCCTAAATTGGGCTGTACTACCTATTGAGTACCCCACTGCAGGCTAGACATTAAAGGCACTGCAGGAACGCAACACCTGGAAAGTCGTGCCTATCGGAGTGGCACGCAACAAGACCATCCTCACGGGAAAATGGTTTTCCGCGTGAAAACAAAAGCCGACGGAACAATCGACAAATTCAAAGCGCGCTGGGTTGTGCGTGGCTTCGACCAAGAGCAAGGGCGAGACTTCACGGAAACATTCGCCCCAGTAAGCCGACATACCTCACTGCGGATTCTCCTCGCGATAGCCGCCATGAACCGGAAGAAGCTTCGGTAAATCAATGTCGCCAACGCCTTCCTCTACGCCCCCGTCGACGCTGAGATCTTCGTCGAACTCCCGCACGGGTCCAACGCAGACCCCAACCAAGTTTGTCAATTGGAAAAATCTCTGTACGGCATCAAACAAGCCCCAAGGCTGTGGCAGCAGCACCTTCACGCCCGCCTAATCCGCATCGGATTCCTCCAACTACCGCACGACCAAGGGATGTAGCGACTTACGAAGGGTACCGACTACATTCTACTCATCGTCTACGTAGACGACCTCCTCTACATAGGCTCCACCGACGTCATAACGACATGGTTTGAAGGGGAGCTGCAGCGGGATCTCACTCTCACCATCGCAACTACCGTGACACAGTATCTGGGATTGAACATTCAAGACGGCGACAATGCAATCTACCTCAGCGCCGAAAAGTACACGGACACTATCGCTAAACGTTTCGGACTCACTCCAACCGTCATCTCCACGCCATACCGCTACACCGACGGAAAACGAGAAGCCTCCGCTCTACTCAAACATGCTGGCATCCGCGATTGCCAACGAAAGTTAGGCTGCTTACTCTTCGCAGCCGTCACCTGCCAACCGGATCTATCCTACTCAGCTAGCCAACTCGCTACCTACCTCAAGAAGCCTAAAGCAGAGCACATGCTCGAACTCGACCGAGCACTTCACTACCTCGTCAACACTCCGACGATCAGACTAACCTACCACAAGACCAGCACTACGACACCTAAGCTAATCGGTTACGTCGACGCCGATCACGCCGGAGACTCCGACAACAGACGATCTCGAATTGGCTACGTCTACAGACTCGAACCTATCGGGCCTATCTCATGGCAGTCGAACAAGCAAGAGCTAATCGCTCTCTCCTCAGCAGAAGCAGAATATATCGCACTCTGCTCAGCCACCAAGGAAGGGCTATATCTTCGCGAATTACTGGAGGAAGCAAAATTGGCCCAGTTACCCAGCTACTCTCTCTTCTGCGACAACCAATCGGCCATTCGCATAGCGAACAAAAACGGGTTCGCGAATCGAACGAAGCACATCGCTCTTCGGTACTTCATCGTAAAAGACGAAATCGAGAAGGGAAGACTCGAGCTATCCTACTGTCCCACATCCGAGATGGCAGCTGATTACTTGACCAAGAAACTCGGAAAACAGAAGTTCGAGTACTACATGCTGCTGACTGGACAAGGACACGTCATCAGCAGCGATACTCCAGAAGCGAAGGGGAATGTTGGAAACAAGTAATTTGAACGCTTCTGAAGTATCGAAGTATCGACATGAAACGGAGCAGACTACAGCGAAGAAACACACAAGTCAACAAAAGCAACCGCTGGAGGTTACGCGAAGGTCAAAGGTCGCTGACCTTTGACTTGACGAAATGTACAGTGCGACAGTAAGGACACATAACTGACTCGTTACTGAGCAGTTACCCGAGTCGGCACTGTATCGAACCGCAACAGCAAAACAGTTAAAGTAGAACCTTTCATATTCCTTTGTAATCATATAAAAGCCTTGTATTTCCCTGCTATTAATCAACTTATCTTGTTCTCACACACCAGTACAAGGTGGTTCAAGCAACTCTTATATTAACGCTTCCGCAATTACAACATCTCTACTTCAACCCCGATCTTAGCCTTGAAAGATCCTAAGGGCTTTTCTCAGCCCAGCAGTTTAGTTATTAGAACCAACTGCTGGTGGTGTAACCCCTCTTCTCCCCTTCCCTATATCTTGTATGCCTTCTATATTGAAACACTCTTTTGGCCATCTCCTTTCGCTTGCAGTTTCCTAGCTCCTAAGTCCAAAACCCTAGCCATGGTTCCTCTAGCCTACCGTCTATTCCCGGATATAAGACCCTCCGGAATAAAAGTCCCATGGGGCTTATATGCGGGGGGGTGTACGCTTAATATGGTCGAATCTGTGAGGACCCCCCTTTTCACCCCAGCGATTATAAGACCCCCCTAGGTCCCGAATTACTGGTTATGACGGTTTTTTTGTACACCACGACGCTACACCTAGAGGTACTTCTCGTGGCGCTGGTTAGAGGCTAGCGACTGTATGACGGGTCGTGACTGTGGGAGGTGCCTGCATCGTGCTGGCAGGCGATAAGGCCGAACGCCTCGTAGTGAGATGTGCAAGATGTGCACATCGAGGCACTTCTGCGTGACTCAGCGATTTCGCGCATCCTCGACGTAAGACCACGTTTCTTCCAAATAAGAGACCCCCCCAACCATTTAAATAGGCATTGTAAATCAATGTTCAGCGTTATATAAGTGTTTAAGGGTCTTTTCTATTTCCAGCCACCATGATGTTCACCCAACCATTTTAGATTGAATTTTTATAAAGTCCCCCGGGTCTTATATCCGGGAATAGACGGTACTCTTGACAGTTTGCACTATCGAAGCAAAAGTACAATGAGCGAACAGTATATAGCGAAGCCTAGAGTGGTAACGGTAACGCGCGAGGTGTGGGGTGCGCAACGGGCCTGGCGCCGAGGTTGGGATTTGTCGAAGCGGAGGACCGGAGCGCGGGTTACCAATCGAACCGTGTGGTTGGGTCGCGACGTGTACAGTGGCGGGAACAGTGGCCGAGGCGAGTGTCGCGGGCGGGTAACGTTGTATTCTAGGGTGCTACTGGCAGGAACAGTCATGTACGCGGTAAGCAGGGGCGCGAAGTAAGGAAAAGGAATTCTCCTTACAACAAGCTAACAATCCTCATTATACCTTTTAGGAACGTCCTCATCCTTCATAAATGAACTACAGTAAACACAGCTGACTCCCCTATTGCAAAATCAGGTTCCGAGGTCATTGGGTACACCAATGGCGATCACGACCTGAAGCGCCAACTAAATTTCAGCAATTTGACAGACCAAAACAGATTGAAGGCTTTGGTTAGGCGCGGCTTGGGGGCTGATAGTAGCCGTTGTAAGGACCAACCGAACCGACCAACAAACCAGTTGCAAACCAGATGAAGTATCAAAACCACTCACTTCCCGCCACGTTCAACCAAGCTTTATGTAAGGTAAGGTTTTGTTATGGGCAGCTCAAAGCTGACCACCTTTGCGATCTCGTGCTGATTGGCTGTAAGAAGGCTTCTTCTGAACCGTTGAAATGGGCACTTGAAACTCACTTCGCTTATCCCGTCGTTTATTGATGGCGTTTTCGCAACAGCCATTTGCTTCCGCCTCTTCGTCGCGCTTCAGGGGCGCATGTAGGTTCGGTTCTGCCGTTGATACTATGTAACAATCTGGAACCCACGAACCAAACAAGCACCTGAAGCGGGCAGCAAATTTCTGATTTCGCAGGACTTCAAATCAAAGTAGTAACGGAAGATTTCGGCAGTCTAGCAGCACGGCGCGCAAAAAGGAGGATCTCCTTTGGGCCCCCCTGAATTTCGGCACAAGCAGCGGCGCGATGTGTTGGGGAGAATTTACCTATTAATGTTGGGGCGCCGCAGCACCCCCATTTTCTCACCAGCCCTGGACACATTGTTATTACGTTTCTTCAACTAATCGTGGCTAAGCTCGACACAGGACAGCGTAATTCAAAGTTTCGACGGTTCTCCGGCATGACATTGGTTACCACCAAATCGCCTGTTGGGAGCAGCACCTCTGCGTTCTCGCGAACGTCAACGGCATGCGATAACCGATTGAAGACTTTCGTTTACATCCTCGCAGCGGCCGGCATCGCTTTGGCGCTCTGGTTCGCCACTTTTGAAGCCGCCACGCTCCTTTTGCATCCCAAATTTTACGCCTCGCGATATTTCGGTGTTCACATACTTCGTTTCACGCGGGATGCGCGGCGGACTTTTGCGGGAAGAAGGGTAGAAACAGCGGGTACAGACTGGCGGCCAATTCCAGACCGACACGTGGCGGAAAAGGCAGTAACCATGTCCGTGCTGTCGCTGCCGCATAATCCGCTCACGAACCGCAAGAGAACCGCCAAGCTAGCTCTGCTGTTTCTAACGGATCAGGGCCTCCTGCCCCTAAAACGCGTATGGGATCGGTTCCTCCAGGCGGAGCTCAAGGGTTCCGTGGAGCGCGAGGGCGACAACAGCAAATTCTCCGTCTACGTGCACTCGGGCGGCACCGAAATGCGCTATAACGCGGACGAAGGCCGGTTCCTTAAACGAAACGACATCCCCAGCCTTCCGGTGAGTTGGCGCGGTAGGAGCATGGCAAGGTGGCGATCGGGAGGCGAACGCGCAAGCGAGGATGATGGATGGGGGTTCGGAGTGGCTGGATTCCCTGACGACACAGCAACATGTGGAGCGTAGTGGATTCCGGCCGAGTGCGCGCGGATGCGGGGCGGATCGGCTTCCGCACGTCTTTTCCTCCCAACGCGTCCCATCTCCCCGCGCGTTCCTTCCTCCCCGCACGTTCCTTCCTCCCCGTGCGTTCCTTCCTCCCCGTGCGTCCCTTCCTCCCCGCGCGCCCCTTCACCTCCGCGCTTTTCGTCTCATCGTCGTCTCCTTTCTCCCGTTTCCCCCCCATTCCCTTAGGCGCAAGAGGGCGCCATAACGACAGTGGATGCGCAGAGGCGGCTGCTGGCGTGGGCGCTGCTCGACCGCGACAACCACTTCTTCCTCTTTCTCCACCACACGTGCGCCTTACTGCCCTTCCCTTCCCCTTCCGCCCACCTCATCACTCACAACACCTCCTCCTCAGCGGCATCACCCGCCTCCCGTTCCGCGCTCTCTCGCTCGTTTCCGCCTCGCTCTCGTCCTCGTCCCTGCGTTCACCTATCATGCCGTCGTGCCTGCCCACCGTGCCTATTCGCACCTCGCGCTGCCTTTCTCGCAATCACACGGCCAGTAGACGCCACGGCGCGCCATCCGCCGTCGTTCCCCTCTCACGCGCCGTGCTATCACGCGCTCAACTTTTCTCACCTCTCTCCTTCCTCTCCCCTCCCCTCAATCCCTCGTCTCACCGGCCGTCCCTTTCCGCAGCGCCATCCCCATTCAGAGCTTCAGCCACATCTACTCGTCGCTGCTGCACTCGCGCCACTCCTTCGTCGCCATGTGAGTCGCCACACCCTCTTCACTCTCCTAATCACCGCGTCGCACACTTCACTCTGCTAGTCGCCGCGTCGAACGCTTCGCGCTTTCCTAATCGCACAAGACTTTTCTAGCTCTTGTGATCGCCGCATGAGGCTCGCATTTCTCCCCGTCTTTGCGTCATTTCCGCAACCTCGCAGATGAACGAGTGACGCACCTCATCGGCGCGCGCCTTACCCACACTTCCGTCGCTCCTTTTTCCTCGTTCAAGCGCATGTAGCACATTCTAGCACAGATCTCACCCTTCACGATCTTCCTACACCCGCCTATCCTCCGCACGCACCCCGCACCTCCCTCTTGCCAGGGCGGATGATCCGACGGCCTATCCGCGCGGGCTGGCTCCGCTGGTTCCGCAGCACAAGTTCGCGCGGAGCTCCAAGGTACTGCGCGACGGGTGGTGGGGAGTTAGTGCTTCACACCGTCAGCTGCTTGCTTCTCTCCTCGCCCTTTCCTCTTCTCAGTCTCTTGCTTTCCTGCTGAATGTACCATCCTCACTCCGCCACCCATCGTGCCACTTACTGCCCCCACATCACGCCGCTGTCACCCTCCCCCCCTTGTGCGTGGCAGTGGGTGGCGGTGAACCGGCCGCATGCAACGGCCATCGTGGCAGACAGCATGTTCTACCGCGCCTTCAAGCTGCACTGCCCCGTACGCTCCCTCCCCCCACTCACCCTCACCCTCTCCCTCTCCCTCTCCCTCTCCTTCTCCCTCTTCCTCTCCCTCTCCCTCTCCCTCTCCCTCTCCCTCTCCCTCTCCCTCTCCCTCTCCCTCTAACTCTAACTCTCCCTCGTCTCTCGCCCCTCTTGCCTCTCCCCTCCCCCTTCTCCCCACTCCTCTCTTCTTACCTTCCTACTTCCCTTTCACCCTCCTCAACCCCCTCTCTCCGTTCTCATCGCCTCCTCTCATCATCGTCACTCAAAATCGTTCTTGTCTTCCCCCACCTCCGTCACCTCCTGCCCTCCTCATGCCTCCTGTATGTATCTCCTCACGCCAACCACCCTGCTTCTCACCCTCTCTTTCCCTCTCCTCTCGCCCACCTCTTCTCTCCGCCCATCCCTCCGGCCACCGTGCAACGTCACCAGGGCACAGCAGCAGCATCGAACACCACCAAGAGTGGGGCGCCCTCTGCTTCCTCACCTGCAGCACACTCACCAGCATGCCGACCGGACGAGCATTACATCGCCACTTTCCTCAGGGTAGGCTCACCTTCCCCCTTCCTTCCCCTTCTCCATCCCTTCTCCCCCACCTCCCGTCTTCGCTTTTGTTCTCCACTCTCTTCCCTCCAGTTTCCCCCCTCCGCTCGCGTCCCCCCTCCTTCATTTTACCCCTCCTTTTGCATACACACCCTTGCCTCCTACAGCCAAAATGCCTCTTACAGCCAAAATGCCTTCACTTAACCAGAGTCCAGTTGCAGTGAGGGGGACTGCTTGCTTATCCATCCGCCCTTCCCCGTCCTCCCCCTCCCGGTACCCCTCGCCCATGTGATCACACCAGACAGTAGACCCCGATGGAGTCGCCAACTTCACCATCACCCACGAGCCGCACATGACCGCTGCTGCTGCTGTGCACGCTCGCATGCGGGCAGAGGCACTGCAGCGCATGCGCAAGCGGCGGCAGCAGCAGCGGCGAGAGGAGGGCGACATGAGGCGCGCAGGAGTAGCAGAGGGGCAGGGAGGGGATGATGGGGTGTGGCAGGGGCGGAGGGGGGTGCTTGAGCGGGTGGGGGAGTGGGAGGAGGTGGAGTACGGTGCTATGAACATCACTTCGAGGTTCATCCAGGACATGCAGGAGGCAACGACATATTTCCACAAAATTGCAGATTCTGTTAGTGTAAGTTCACTCAGCCTTGCCCTTTCCACCTGCGTTGTGCGGAGACCACTGTTCTGTATTTTTCCTCTTCAGAAACATATTGGCTGGCATGCAGCGTTTATTTGTGAGAGAATTTTGTAAGTTAATCACTCCTTGCCTTCATGTTAACTATCATGCTCAGTTGATGTCAATTCCCACTGTTTTGAATAAACTCCTGCAGAGCCCCACAACCTGTCGGTGGAATGGCCATCCCAAGCCGTGCTTCATATTTGCTCAGCCATTTCGACCAGACTCTGCGGATGAGATCATGAGCATTCTACCAAATGTTCTCCATTATTGAAACAATATCCCTGCAGTGCTGCCCTCTAAGGGAATATTGAAGCAGATTTGCAAATATAAATAACCTTAGGTAAGGTAGTCGTAGGATTAGGTTGTCCCCTCTTGATTGTCATGCAAGAATGACATTCCTTTAATTGTAAGCTCGTCTTGTATAGTGTGGTCCTACCGTATGTGTGAAGCTTGAGATGTTACTAATGAGAAAGCTTGCTTCTGTAGCAATTGGCATCGTTCTCATTGTTGAGATAATATTGAAACTTATGCACTTCAAGGAATTCGTGTAGTGTAGCTAGTACAGTAAAAATGTCGATAGTCTGACGTCAGCAAAGCGCTACGCGCTCTAGGATGATGTCAGCAGTAGCTGTAGGTATCGCGAATAGTTACGTACCGTTTCAGTATAGGAATGGCACAATACAGTAGGCGAACAGGTACTTTACTAGCTATATATTTTGCATGTTTGTCATTTTATAATATACTTGATTTCAGAGACATTGATCCTGTTACAAGTCACTCATATAAGACTTCCACTGCTACAGGAAGCTACTATCCTAAGACTACGATCCTATTCAGACAGGTTCAATTCTAACATGGTATGAGAGCAACTTAGGATTATAACAGCTTCCACCTACCTACTCTACAACTATGTCTGGATCTCCAAGGTCCAACAATGGCTCTTCTGTTACGAGCCCATCACGTCCAACAGCGTCTCCAGCTGCAGATAATTCACACCTGCAGCAACAACAACAACAACAATATCAGCAACAACCGATGTACGGCATGCCATTGAGCAATCAGCCCGTACACGCAACTACAGCAGCGGCATCTTCGACAGCAGCCGCAGCAACAGCAGCCACAACAGCTGCAGCTGCAGTCACTGGTTCTTCTAGTCAACCGGGACAACAGTCCAACTTCGTACCGACTGGACCTTACCAATATCAAGGCGCTTACCAGCCAGCAAATCTTCAACAACGTGTTAATGCTGCCGTCTTGTCGCTTAATCAAATGTTTCCAACTCCTATGAGCATTGATGGCTCCAGTTATCAGCGTGGTCAGATGCCACAAGGAAGTGACGGGTCGAACAACTCCTCTTTTGTTCCTGCTGGACAAGGACAACAAACACAACAAGGGTCACAGGTGCCATCACTTTATCAGCTACAATCAGCTGACGGGACCGGAAATTATATTCCTGCTTCTGCAAATCCAACGAAAATCAAAACGACAATGCCTTTTAACGGTCAAGACTTTTATACCTGGAGCTTTGAGTTTGAGCTTCTTGTTCAGACCGCGGGGTTCTGGCAGCTGTATGACGGCACAGCACCCTTTCCATCTCACAGGTCACCACTTCAACAAGCCACTTTTCGATCGGCGTCACTGACTGCATACACAGTTCTCGTTCGTAATCTGACACCGACTGAACAGCTCGGAATTCGTTCTTTTCGTACCAGTGCCGCTCCTGCTGAAGCAGCTTGGTTATACCTGCAAGGGGTTCACATGGCAAAGGACACTATCAACCAGAGTAAAATTTTGACGCAGCTGTCAAATATACAGATGATAAACGGCGAGAAGGTGACGCAGTATATCAATCGTGCTCGAAATTTGCGTGATCAACTTCAGAAGTGTGGAGGGTACTTCCCCGACGCTATGTTCCACACGGTGCTACTCGCGGGTCTTGGACCAGAATGGCGACAGTGTCGCTCTATACTTCGGATGCAAGCACAGTTGTCCGAGGGGGCACTCTGTGCCGCTCTCATCGCCGAGCAGCAGGATATGGACCTGCACAACGCTCGAGGAGGGAAAAAGGTGGTAAACAATACAGTCAGCTTTTATTATAATCCACGTCACAAGCCTGTTTGTTCCTTTTGTCGTAAACCAGGACACACTATTGATACCTGCTGGTCGAAAGACAAACCATCTTGGAAGCGGTCTGCATCGAAACATACCAAAGATTCTTCAAGCGAAGCTGAGAAGCCGGAAGCTGAGAAGCCGGACGCTGCGAAGCTGAATTCTGCGAAGCCGGACCCTGCGAAGACACAGTCAAAGCAAGTTATTACCTGCATGACATCAGTTTCAAAGGTTTATGATCCTGATGCTGAAGAGCGGATTCACAACCGGTTCAACAACGAACTCAACACACCGATTCCACCTGAGGTCTATGCAAATCTTGCACATACTATTGCAGGTCCCAATACTTGGTACCTCGACAGTTGCTGTGGTCAGCACATGTGTTCGTCAGAGACTCGTTTCATTGTGAATCAACGCCGTCTGGAGAATCCCGTTGTCGTCACGGTCGCCAATAACCAACGGCTTACAGCTCACTGGATGGGAAGTATCGTTCTGGACTCAGTTGAAGAAGACTTCAGTCTTCACCTGAACGAAGTTCTTCTGGTCCCTCGGCTTGGTTTCAACCTCATGTCATCTGCACAGCTCATGAAGAACGGGATTACACTTCTCGGTGAACCTGGGAAGTTCATTCTGAAGTACGGCGACAAAAAACTCGGCACGGCAGTTGAGCAAAATGGTGTTTTCGTTTTGAACTTCATACCTGAGCGCACTACTGCCGACTCTGATAACATTCTCTCGCTTGGTCCTTGGGAGCATCGCGACGATATTGATTACACCGACGATACAGTTCCACGTGAGGGAGTTGTCCCGACGTCTTCAACCACGGCTGCCGCTGTCATGCTGACCTTCGACAATCAAGGTCTGAACGACGTTCAGAACTCCCGAGATTATCTTGCTGGTGGTTGGGGAGATACGACGAACATGCCGACTGATGAAGGCATCTGGGGGGCTGACGAACCCGATGAAACAACTTGGGGCGAGACGCCTGCTGAACGCAATGTTCGTCTTCTCGCTGAAGCTGAGCAACGCGTCGCTGATATGGAGATTCTTGACTCGGGTCGTCTCGTTGGAGTTGATCCTGTACCTGCAGCATCCGATCAAGAAAGCGGCGAGTTAGTACTTGCTCCAGGCGAGTACGTGGATGTTGAGGTTCGTGTTCCACCACCAAATCTTACTCGTTACGTTGCACATGCTTTCGATCAGATCCGCTCCGATGGTCATCAGCTTCTGTTGTCGTTCTTCGATAACGCCGAATATTACCTGCGCGCACAAGGTCACAAAGCCACGGGAGAAACATGGCATAAGCGACTTGGTCATCCGTCGCAGTTTACGCTAAACAACACGATCAAGGCTGCAGTGCTTGACAAGAATTCGTTACTCTTACCGAGCGGTCTCGAACTGAAGCCGGTGAATCGCCCGGCACCCTGCACCGTCTGTCCTGCGGCGAACCTACCGCACAAACCGTTCCCGACTCATTTCCCTGGAGCTGCGGATTATCGATTGATGGAAAAGGTTTACAGCGATATTCTAAACTTACCTGCGGAAGGTTTCAACGGCGAGAAATATGTTATAACGTTCACTAAAGCTTCTACTCGATACGTCTGGACCGGTAACATGGCTAATCGTTTTCTTGCTTTCACAACGTTTCAGACATGGCTACCTCTCGCAGAACGTGAGTCTGACACAAAGCTCAAAAGCTTCCAGTGTGACGGAGCTGGAGAATATCGCAGCCTCGAGTTTACAACGTACCTGCAAGAACGAGGCATACGGCGCCTGTTCTCCCTTCCTCACGCTCACCAGCAGAGCGGTGTAGCTGAACGCCTCAATCGTACCTTGCAAGAAAAGATGCGCGCACTAATCGCACAGTCTCAACTCGGCTCCCTCTACTGGCCCTTCGCGATGGACCACGCAACGCTGTTGCACAACCTCCTGTCTTCATCGGCTTTACCAAACAACGCATCACCTCACTTATTATGGACAGGAAAATTGGGCACTACAAAACTTCTTCGAGTTTTTGGGTGTATCGTACAATATCGTCCTCCTACTGCTCCGCTCGGAAAGTTCGATCAGCGTGCTAAGTGGGGGCTGCATCTCGACATTGAAAAACAATATCTTGCCTGGCGTATTATGGATTACCGCAGTCGTCTTCTTGTTCCTGCTCGCGACTGTGTTTTCTACGAAAATCTGACGCTGCCCGTCTTCGAACAGCATTTTGCCATGCAGCAAAACCCTGCCACGCTTTTCCACGGTGTTCGTTCGTTTGCTAACACCGATGCCGAACTTGCTGCCAGCGAAGAACCTGACCCCGACGGCGCACGTGAAGCTGCTCCCGACCCACCTGTCCCTGTCACGTCTTCCGGAATTCCGGAGTTTATTCCTCTTGCTAACGCGGCACCTGAGGATGTTCGCGATGTTCATCATACTTACCTCGTGGATGAATAGCGTCAACCAATGCCGGTGGTTTTCGATAGCAGCATCCGCGTCAACCCTGACGAAATTGGGGGGGCAAGTGGAGACCAGAATGATTCTGTCAATTTCGCATGTCGCACCGACGATAATCCGCATTATCAGACCGGACTGCAAATTCTGGGACTCGCAGCAGCGGTACAGCACAGTTCTACAGTGAATTTGGAGCCGAAAACTGCCCGACAAGCTCTCTCAGGGCCTCATCGCGAAAAATGGCGTGAAGCGATGGATCGCGAACTGGCTGCCCTAGAGAAAAGGGAAACATGGGATCTTATACCCATTGAAAAAACGGTAAAAAAAAATGTTCTTACCGGTAAATGGGTCTTCAGGGTGAAGACGAAAGCGGATGGTACTTACGAGAAACACAAGGCACGGTGGGTGGTTCGCGGTTTTGATCAGACTCATGGGATTGACTACACACTTACCTTCGCCCCGGTCAGTCGACATACGAGTGTTCGACTCGTTCTCTGCGAAGCAGCCGCAAAGAATTTTCCACTTCGACAAATTGATGTCTCCAACGCGTTTCTATACGCTGACGTCGATGCTGAAATCTACGTCGAATATCCGCATACATATCCGACAAATCCGCCAAGTGTCTGCAAGCTCAAGAAATCACTGTATGGCATCAAACAAGCACCGCGACTGTGGCAGCAGCATTTGAACAGGA